CACTGTTCCTCCATTTGGATTTTATTCCAGAGCCTTCAAATTCGTTCTTTCTGTATTTTAAGTTGGCTTCTCAAACCTGCTGTTTCCCAGATGAACCCCACAGTTCAGTTACTAGCTGCAGATAATGGGGCTTTCCAGTCCAACAGATCTTGACAGCGTCTTCTTTAGCCATTGTGAAAAATGCTGCTCCAAACCATGGATGTATCTGTTTGCCCTGCTCCTCCTCTTCCCCCACTCCCCAAAATATACAGTATCCCAGTATCTAAACTGAGATAGTTTGTCATTAGTTACTTAAAGGGGTAACTTAACAAAGAATTGGGTTAAGTACGGAGGGGGCAGGAATGAGTTGCCAAAAATTGCAGAAGGAATCTCTCTCTCTCTATTATGGAGGTAAACAACAAATGTAGAGAAAAACATGTAAACCTTCATAAAATAAGTCAGGGGCTGTATTTATTTTTTAGTTCTTTAAATGACGTCATTTAGTTCTTCTTAATTATTATTTTTGTGAAAGGCACGTTTTACGTTCTAAGGCTGATACCAAAAGAAATAATATGTTATTGACATCTGGATTCATTTATTTATTTAAATGTCTCTGATCATCATTACAAAAATGTATACTCTCCGAATGTGTTTTGGCCAAAACAATATCACCACCTCATTATGGATGTGCCTCTCTCTTCACGGTATTGCTCATTACTCCATGATGTTAAGCAGCTGATGATGCTCTCCCCCGTCTCTGAGGATGACCCTGCTGGTCTCCCGCAAGACCCAATCCTGCCCCATGCTCAGGCTGGAAACTGTGGCAACCCCTAGTCTTGGGGCTCCTTTCAAGGCTTCTTTTTTTTAAAAAAACAGCTGGGGCCAGCCATGAGGCTGGGCTCATGCATGTGTGAAGAATGACCAGCGTGACGAGCCCCTGCTGGCCCAAGGCCTTCTGAACTGGCAGAAGGAACCACTGGAGAGGGTGCCCGGCGTGCCCTTGGGGGCCTATGGAGCAGAGGTGACTGCTCTAGAGGCCTAATATCACACAAGGCCTAGCACCCCTGGCACTGGAGGAAAACATCCAGTCCCTATACAGTGGTGCCTCGCTAGACAGTTACCCCGCATGACAGTTTTTTTGCTAGACATTGACTTTTTGCGATCGCTATAGTGATTCGCAAAACAGTGATTCCTATGGGGGAATTTC